AAATGGTGCATTTTAAGTGTATGTATTTATTTATTAGTACTTTTATACATTTCTGCTTTTATTTCTAATCATGTAAGTTTCGGTCTTCCGTACTGGAGAGGCAACACACAAAACAAAAACAAAAAAATTATCACAATTTTTCATTTGCATAAAAAAATATTTAACAGTGGGGTTTGCAACCTGTGGCTCTGGGGCCACATGGGCCTTTTTTGGATCCCTCTTTGTCGTTTTGAGTAAAACAAGCATGGAAATAAATAACATTAATTCAAATAACCACATAAAATAATAATATGATAAAGTGCAGCACAGAAAAATAACAACAAAGTAAGAATCAGTTCTAAATTAAGGAGCACAACGATGTTGTCTCTTCAAAGAGTCTTTCATWCAGGGGCGCAGCACAAAATTCAAGGCCCTACATTCAGTTTCTTGATGAGCCCCCTTCCTGCCTTTAATAAACGATATATTTTCTTGTGAATAAAAGCCTCTGTTCAGTCGTACAACTAAATCCTGCTTGTTATTTTAAGGCCTTATTAAAACTAAGAGGGCTTAGAGTTAAACATATTTGCTTTGGTAGGTAATGAACTCGGCTAATATTCCCGTGGGAACACCGTCGCCAGCTTAAAGGATTTGAACTACCAACCGTCCCCGTGTAGCCGGGGATTTGAGCTAATTACCACTTTCACTGAGCCCCCCCACCCTGGATGTAAATCCCCCTGCATAAAGAGCTGCAGTAATATTCCAAAGTACGATCATTTAAGGCGAGAAGAAGTGAAAGTTAAATTGTTTAAGGAGCAAAATATGAGCTGCTGCTWGAAAAACACACAACATCTGTAAATGAGCTCATAATTAGACATTTAATAGCAGCTCAAAGCAGCTGAAACTTCAGTTAGACAAAAAAGAGAAGAAAAAAGCAGTGTTTTGGTTGAAAAACAGAGCTGTGCTGCTGCTTGTGTGTGTGCTCTGACCTCTGTGTGAAATTGTCGGTGGGCTAAGAACGAGAGGCGTGTGGCTGTGATGTGTGTTGTGACGGGGGGGGAGGAGGCCAAGTCGGGCGGGCAGCGAGTGAAAGTGTTTACGTCTGCCTGAGAGAGAGTGAGAGACAGAAAAAGAGAACTCCCACTTACAAAGTGGAACCCGCTGAACTTTAAATGACATTATGGTCGACTCTCAGTTTTACGGAGATGTTGGCCTCTTGTACCGATGATTTGGTCTCACCTTTAAAATCCTCTCAGGCATCAGCTAAACCGAGAGGAGCTAAAGAAGCAGCATCAGCACCAGTCGAGGTCCCGCCTGAACTCAAAGCCGAGCGGCTCCGCAGTTTTATTTATGGAGAGGGACCGGACTACACGGAGCAGATCTTTGAGTCTCTCTGGAAAGATGTGCTCTCTGAACCGGACCGTGTCTCTGTCTGTCTTTCCCAGGGACCCTGCAGCCGCCCTGGACGCCGCGGTCGACTATGTCAAGGTAGGAGAAATACTTTTCTTTTTTTTTTTTTTTACCATATCGTTGGTTTGAACTCACTGACGAAATGGTTGCATGTGATGTTTGCAGATAAAAGAAAGGTCCTAAATAGAGATTTTCTTAAAGAGTTTCTTAGAGAGTTCTTAAATGAACAGTGGAGAAATTGAAAAAAGTGCAGTCTACAATGGGTCGGTAAACAGTGGCGTTTGCAGAATTTTTTTTCAGGGGGGCCATTGTGAGGGGGGCACTAAAACTAAAATCCATAACAGAAATTTTATGCCGCTGTTTCAAAATGAAAAAGAGCTAAGGATTTGCCTACAGATGTTCAGTTTGTAATTTTTCAGGTACCGTATTTTTCGGACTATAAGCCGCGAATTTTTTCCTGAAATTTGAACCATGCGGCTTATAGACCGGTGCGGCTTATACGTGGATTTTTTTCTTCAACCACCAGGGGGCTCTTATGCTCCATTTGCTTCAACCACTCGCTTCAAAAAAAGAAGAAAAAAAAAGAAAAAAGCGATCGCTTCCAGAGCCGACTGTTGACCAGCAAGAAGCGATTTAAAGATAGTCAATAGCCAAAAACTCATAAAAGGGGATAAAACAGTCATT